TTCTTTGGATGCAGCCCAGGATACAGTTGGCCTTCTGGGCTGCGAGCACACATTGCTGCCTCATATCCAGCTTTTCATCCACCAGTACCCCCAAGTGCTTCTCGGCAGGGCTGCTCTCAATCCCTTCATCCCCCAGCCTGTACTGATACCGGGGTATGCCCTGACCCAGGTGCAGGACCCTGCACTTGGCCTTGTTGAACCTTGTGAGGTTCAAACAAGCCCATCTCTTGAGCTTGTCCAGGTACCTCTAGATGGCACACCATCCCTGAATATGGAGCACTGTGTTCAGCTCGGGTGTCCTCAGCTCCCTGCCCCATATCACCCAAACTCCTTGCATTTACATCTTTCAGTGATGGTGATATCGATCAAAAAAAAAAACAAAAAAAAAAAAAAAAAAAGGCACACACGAGAGACATTGAGGTACTGTAGTGAGTGCTGGGGCCACAAAGATGATTAAGGGATTGGAGCATCTTTCACATGAGGAGAGACCAAGAGAGCTGGGATTGTTCAGGCTGGAAAGAGAGACAGCTCAGGGGCTATTGTGTCAATGTGATAAACACCTGATAGGAGGAAATGAAGATAAGGGAGACAGCCTCTTCTCAGTAGTGTCCAGTGACAGTATAGGAGACAATGGGCACATATTAAACACATTAAATTCCATCTGAACACAAGAAAACACTTTTTTTTTTTTCCTACTGTGTGGACAATTCAGCCCTAAGAAGAGGTTGCGCAGAGAAGTTTTGGGTTCTTAATTCTTGGAGATATTCAAAACCCAAGTAGACATGGTCCCAGACAGCCTGCTAGAGGTGACCCTGCTTGGGCAGGGGGCTTGGAGTAGATAATCTCCAGAGTTGCTTTGCAACCTAAATGATACTGTGATTCTGCAATTAAACCACCTGATTAAAAGAGTTTACTATGGGCAACACAGACCACCTGGTCAAAGTTAAATTTATGTCAATCCACAACTTAGAAACATAAATATACATTTTAACTTGTTGGAAAACTTTCCTCTTCTGGTAAGGAAAGATAAGCTATTGATAAGCTTCCTGAAAAACGTTTGCTGAATTTATATGCAAAAATGAATTAAAGTTGTGTGCTTAATTTAAATCTTACTTATAGGCAATATACAGTATCATAATGCATTAGCAACAGGTTTATTTTGAACTCTGACCAAATTCCTTGAAGGCTCTCTTGACAATGAATACTCAAGCAAGTAAAATGCCAAAGAATCATGCACTGCAACTTTGGGATAACTGTTAGGGCAGGAAAAGAAGCACCATTCAATCTACAAAGCTCCAACTAGCATACAATCTCTATAAGGACTATCAAATATATCAGTGCAAAAAATCTCCTCTGACACCATCCAAAGCCCAGTAAGAAACCAATCCAGTGATGCTCCCAAAAGCTAACAGGTTTCTCTGATTTTCACCTTTTGACTAGCTACTCCTCCTATCCTTACAGCCCACTATTACACCAGGTTAACAAAAATGCTCCACATAATCCCTTGACCCAAAAGGCCAAATACAAGTAGGCTACCTGTTAAAAGACTGAAATTATAAACTACTGTTTTATTATATGCTCAAGTGAAGTAGGAGTGTTCTGATTTCAGATACTCCAACATTTAGCTGAAGAGGGAAGTTATGACCAGCTGACACACTCTAACTTCCTGAAGTGATCCAACACCACCTAAAAAGCCTAACTACATGCCTCTAAAAGGAACATGCCTCAGTACTGCATATTTAGACAAACTCTTATCCTCAGAGTCAATGAGCAGTACCTTACCTTGAAATTGTTTTCTTTTGGTTTTCTTCTCATTATTATATTAAATGTCTCATAAACATCTTCCGCTCCATTTTGGATTGTATTGGCCATGTCTTGTTGATACTGGTTTGGGTCCAGAAATACTCTGTATGTTCTGCAATCCCCTTTAAGTCTTGGTTTGGGTTCAGGTCCTGCCCGTAATGAAACGGTAAGATTAGAATTTGAAGTAGTGCTAAAAGTAGATTATCATTCAAATAAGTGATCCATAATCATTCCTGAAATGAAATTTAGACAAATTCGTATCATTAAACTAATTTCTACATGGCATTATAAACATTCTTATTTCGTGTTTTCATCCCATTTCTAATGGAGTTTTTAAATATAAGCTATTTTATTCCTAAAAACAAAATGTACTGGATTTATTTAATTAATATAATTACATCAGATTCTACCAGACAAAACTAGTTAACCTTTCTCAGGCTGCTTATAGAATTGGTTTGTTTTTTCAAGTAGGTAATGAATTCAATGAGCATTGCTTAAAAGAGAAGGAAGTCAACAACTGGGTTGTTAACAAAAAATAAGGGGGCAGGGGAGGGATAAATCTTTCAAACAGTTTTGGTATACCATACCTTCTTCAATAACACGTCCTTTCTCATCCAACATGCCCTGGATTTCACAGCCTCTGACATACACCAGGCCAGTTTGCTCAACAAAAGGTCGTCGTCGGTCAAACTTCGTGCCATAAGGTTGCGTGGGACGTACAGTAACCAAAAAGCAGACATCATGTTTACGCAGACCTGATTCCGAAAAGGAACATTTAGTGATCTTATTGAATGCCATATTCCTTTTCCATTCCTTAATATATATATACACAATAAAATACATGAAAATTTCTTTTAAATAAAACCCCACCTGTTTAAAGAATAATGTGTTCTGTTTTAAAATACGCCTTTAACTTAGAGGACAGAGAACCATAGGATATTGTCATCTTTTCCTCTATTCCTGCATACTAAAATCTGCTAGATATGAAAAGGAGAAATTGACTGCTTTTTTCATGACAACAAACTTACTTATTTCAAGATTATTCTTCTTCCAATAATCTTACTTAGATTATACAACCTAGATATTTTCAGACTTATGTCAAAAGTAGTGTGTCATTAATTTCTTATTCTCACTGCTTTCTTCTGGACTAACCTCCAATTTTCTTTTTTTTTTTTTTTAACAAAAATTTAAGCACAGTGCATAGAACGGGGCACAAAGTCCTAAACAGTTACTTTAGTTATCTAATAGGGTAAAAGGTCCATTAACCAAGTTACTTGTTTTCTATGCTACATTCCAGTTTATAAATCCCGATATAACTTGCTTGAATGTTTTTCTTTTTCCCTGAGCAGTAACATATCGTTGTGGAATCACATTTGCTTTTGAGCAATGATGACCTCAGACTCTTTTCATTCTGCAGAGCTACTGCCTAACAAGTTGCTCCCCCAACATGCATTTGTGCAGTGACTTGTTCCTGCTTAAGTGTAGTACCTTAATATCCATCCCTGTTGAACTACACCCTACTTTTTAAAATGCAATTTTTCCAATTCACTAATGTAATTTTGAACACTAATCCTTTTCTCCAGTATACCTACAGATTCTCACAGAAACTGAAAATTTATAGTAAACACACACTGTATTTTTCACACGAGTCAACTTCTCATTACTCACCAGATATTATCCAACCTAAAGCAGTTTCATGAAGACCCTGTTATATCAGGCAATGATTCATCAATTCTTCCCTCAGTTTTGATTAAGTTAAAGCATTACTGCTTTTGAAATCACAGAAGCTGTTCTAGTATTGAAAAAGCTAAGTGCTCCACTATATAGCTACCTTCAGTATAGTGAAGTCTGCTGCCATCCTCCTAGCTTTTTCTACCTTAACAGAAATCTACACTCCCAAACTTTTACCTGCTTATTTATCACATGCTCCAGCTTTAGCATTCGTGCAACTTGACCTTTAATCATACTATGCAGCTCCAGCACATTTAACAGGTTTCTCTAACAAAAGAGGGGGGAGTGACATTTACTGATAATCCAAGTACAAGTACATGCGTCTGTGCCACTTGCCAACACAGTCAACTAAAGTTCAATTCCCCAAGCAAAAGAAGTGTTGCCTGTCGATAATTATAAGAAACGAGTATTTGGTACAGTCAGCACATCCTAATAACATTCAAATACATTCAAAACTACTAAAATGCACTGGTTTGAATTAAATCAAAATCTGTCCACTCCACTTGTAGATGAGATAACGATACCACATTCCCCACTACTTTTCCATTATGACATTATTAGCAAGCATGTTAAAGTGCTAAGCTACTTTTCCACATTCCCTGTAAAGGGCAGAATTTTACAGCTATAAACTGAATGACATCAGTCTGAAATTGTAAATGCTCTGTTCCAAATAGAGGTGTAAATACTTTAATAATTTCAATCTTTGTTTTAGGAAAGTGTAAACTTCTTAGACTTGGAATTTGTGTAACTGGCTTTTAAGCAGTGTATCTTGGACAAAAAAAAACCTTTCTTACAAATAAGATTACATCAACGTGTACTTTGATGAGGACCTATTTTGAGCACCTTATTTCAGAGAACATTAAGTACCTTCCCATTCATCTTTGATGCTATCACGGACATTCAAGTTAATTGTAACATCTGCTCGTACTCGCATGGGCCAGTTTTCACCAATATTGGGCTTTGCCACCTCCACCACTGTGAAAGAGACAATCGGTTGTGCCATCCTAGCCCATCCACCAAAGACCACACCTCCATATTCTGACAACCTAAAAAAAACCAAAAACAACCCCCAAACACCAAAGTTTTGTTAGTCATTATCTTTTTTTAAACAGTGAAACAATTTACCTCACAGTCAGCTCCAAGTCTTAATTTTACATGCTACTCAAGTAGATTCACATAATCGTGCATTTTAGAACTGAAGCATAAGATAAACTGACTTATTCTTATATTTCAAGAAACAAAGGCAACTTATGTTGGCATTATTAAAAAAACAAAGCAAAACAAAAAACAACTAACAGAAAAGAAAAAGGGAAGATAACAAAAAGCAACTAGTGAGTATGAGAGATACCACACCAAATGACCCCTTGAAATCTCAAGGGGATCAAAACATGGCAGATGGCAAATTCAAGAATACTCAGTAACACCTCCAATAAACCAGAAGAGTTGGTGGTCAAGTTTCCAAATTTTTTAACGTCAGACAAGGCTTAGTACTTTTGAAAACTAACTCATCCATCTTAACACAACAAAGGTGGGTTGTTAGCATCCAACATACTCTCTTAACACATTTACAGGAATACATATCAACACACCTTTACAAAAATTATCCCACAGGCTGGCAACACCTTATGGAAGAAGTCAGTATAAAACATCGTATCTATGTAATGATTTAAAGTACATTTGTTACCATGTATTTAGTATATACACAGTATCAGTTACTCTCAAATGCACTTTGATTACAATTGAACTTGAACCAACTGGTTTGCATCAGTTAATAAATATTACCATGGTTTCATCCTACTGACACTATCTTCAATGTCCTGTCGGATCTCGTAGGTAGACTCCAAGCGGAAAAGATTGAAGTTCCTCAGCAGGTAGTCATGAAGAGTCAGAAACTGCAGATTCAATTTGGGAAGTGCGAGACAGCCTACGGGGGTAAGGGTGGAAGGGAAGAGGTATCTGATGAATAAACAAAAAATGATAAATTCATATATTGGTTCTATGGATTCATAAATACGTACACACACTATTCTGTAACTGCCATACTTGTTATCCTGGGAGATTTTAAGAATTACTCTTTTTCACATAATCACAGAATCGTTAACATTGGAAAAGACCTTAAGATCATCAAGTCCAACCATCAACCCAACACCACCATGCCCACTAAACAATATCCTGAAGTGCCTCATCTACATGTTTTTCGAACACTTCCAGTAATGGTGATTCCACCACCTCCCTGGGCAGCCTGTTCCAATGCTTGACCATATTTTATAAATATACAAAACTAAAAATCACATTTTTCATGTTTTCTCTAAATAAACCTGCACAAGATTAAAGGAATTTTCATCCTTCTGGCAGCATTTAAAGACTGAATCCTTTCCTGTATACAGACTACAACAAAATTGATTTTACAAAAATCAAATGCAGGTGAAAGTAATGGTACTACAGGAATTCAACAATTAAGTCAGCATTAAATAATGATGAGAAAAGCTCATTAACTAATAAAACCCATGCGTTAATCAATAACTCCCCAATTCCAATCTTTTATGTTTATTAGAAGCCACAAAAATCATTAATGTAGAAAAAAGTTTTAAGCCAAGAAACCAAATTTTAATACACAACTGTCCTGAAAAGTTTCTGTTACTGATTATAGATTTATTTCTTTTTTTAAATGAGAATGAAAAACATGTGAAGATTAGATCTAACTAAACAAGGAGTATTAAAACTCACAAAGAGGTCCTAAAGCTTGCATAGCTTTAGCGTAGTCTTAGATGCAAATTTTCCAAAATAAAAATTCTTATATGTTACTCATTTAATATTACTGGACAAATGTTCCAGTTTGACACCTATGCTTAAGACCTGTGAAAGCATCAGGCTTTTGTAACTTGCAATATTATCCTTGAAACCTTTCACTGGTATATGTACTACATATTGGCTTTCACATGCACTTAGATACAATGGCAGTGAAGAAAGACGACAGAACACAGGAATTTCTATTCTGGAAAGCCTCATGGTCATAAAACACTTTAACACATTTCCCAACACCAAGTTGGGAACAAACCCTGTCCTATAAAGCTAGTTACATACATGCAGGCTGAGGCTTGAAGCAACATCTCTTTAAGGCCACACAGCATTTAACAGACAGATATTCTTCCTCCCTCATTTTCTGAAAGAGCACAGAAACAATACTCCTATCTTTCTTGGGCTAGACTACTTTTATTTAAGCTTTAGACCAAAAAAATTTAGCTACTTTTTAAGAACACAAAAAAGCCCGCAAGACCACAAAAACAAAATGGTCTTGTTTGAAATCAGAGCTACAGAACACACGGCTATCAAAAAGGGAAAGCATAAACTAAAACTAAGAGAAGCACAACAGAAAAATACCTGTAGCAGTCTGACAGCAATAGAAATGCTTCACAACAATGCTATCAATATACAGACAATAATAGCAAAAGAGTTCACTACAGCAGGAAGAAATGTTTCCACTAGCAGCCACTGTTACTTACCAAAATGACATCACCATTAATAAAATTTAATGCATTATTAAAAAGTCACAAAACAGCAGAGAAACAGGTGTGATGAGCTGTTCTCGTCCCTGCCCCGCAACAACACATATACTGTAATTAATATATTTGGCTAATAAAATACTAAACCACCATTGGGTGTTGGACTAGATGACCTTTAAAAGGTCCCTTCCAACCCAAGTTATTCTGATTCTAAACATAAGTACTTTATCTCTTCTTGGGCAGATCTCTAGAGGGCCTTTGTATCATACCTGTTTGGAAAAAGATCTTTTGTTGCCTATAACCCTGCCTTATCTAAAGGGGTTACATTTCAAAAATCTCTTTCTTCTCATTAATATTTTTTCACAGAGAATTTATCCCAGATAACTAATTTATGCTAAGCATCTGAACTTAAGGCTTATAGCTACACAAAAAACCCCTCTGAATCAAAACTACATGGAGGAGGGTACAGAATACTCACTGCTCAAACCAGAAACATACTTTATACTAGTCTTTGAAGATATATATTGTTATTTGGAATTTACATATTGAAAATTTTAGTTTGTACATTCTTAATGAAAATTCTCATGATCCACATTAAAACTTTTTTAAAAGTAGCTAGACAAAAACACATGTGCTGTTTATTGCAAAGCTTAAAATTACATAAATCCTTGTTTGCAATACCTGCAGCTTGCTTCCTTGATCATGAGCACATCAAGCAAGAACACTAGGTTCTGAATTTAGAGTGCACACACTACCTTTCAGTGACTACGTGTATGCTTCTACCTTGAAATAAAAGGAGTAAGATAATTAGTGTTAATTTCCTCTCATCACCACTTTTTTTTTTTCTTTTTAAAAAGGCTTTCTTGAATATACTTAAGAGCAAAGCACAGACAAAAACTTTCCTGCTGCATGTTTACAACTTGTTTCACTTTACAGTAACTACCTGTTCCACAGCTGGTGTTATAGCACATCTGTTACCCAGATTAGAAGCAAGTAAATGTCTGTGTGTAAACACAGGCCTTTGGATTTTTCTTTAAGTCCACTATAAATTTGCTAACAATTTCATCTCAGAATTCTTGATTCACAACTCAAAAAAAAGTTGACCTTACTCTAAGATACTGGAAGATGCAAAAGTACTACATTTAAGTTACAAAGACAGAATGAACATCGACATTAGAACAGCTTTTTTTGCAGCATTTACAGTCCTGTTCAGTATTTACTGAACTACTAATCATACCTTCCCCAGAATAATATTCAGTTGGCACAATATTTTCATCCCAAATAATCTTCTCTGTGGGATAAAGAGGCATCTGGTTGAGTTGCTGAATTTGAGATATTCGTCGCTCATGACGGGAAACCTGAAGAAAGGATGCATTTTAAACTTCCTAAGTCAAAAAGGGACAATGAAGCTATTTTTGAAACATGCACATTAATCTCTAAGACGGTCTCTCTTTTAATAAGTTTGAGTTTTGTTTAGTTTTGGGGTTTGTAACTAAATGCACACAGTGGCATCAGAAGATGAACACACACATAGTCCAACTATCAGTCACAGTAAAGTCAATCAATCACTTGGCTACTCAAAGCAAAAATGGCAAACCAGAACTGAAAATATTCAGTCAAGGCTTAGCAGAGTATCAACTTCAAATGAAAAGGTCCTGAGTGGCTACTTTACTACATTGTAGTTGCTAGATTTAGCTATATCTTGAGTTTGCAATGAAAAAAACACAAGCAACGTTAGTTATGTTTTTACCAGCAACTCCAGCAGAAACTCCTTTTCATAGCTAGAGTCTTCCCCCTCCGGAAGGGGTGGCAGCAGGCAGAGGTATGACGCCACCTGGTGGAGAGTATTTGAGCTGCACAGCAGAAGGAAAAACAGAAGTTTGTGTCAGGACACTGAAACTAGAGAGCATGCCCTTAGGGTAGCTTTTTTCCCCACCCCACCCTCCTTAAAAAAAATTTCCAGCTATGAATTTCATCAGAGACCAGCAATGACAGATCAGCATTTTAAGTGAAGTTTGAGATATTTAAAATATTCATTTTGTTACAAAGTGCTCTAGAGCACTTCCACGAATGAAGTGTGCTCAGCCATAGGTGTAAGCTCAACCCCTCATCTGCAAGGAACACAGCAAGGTGTGAGCGTTTTTTTTGTTTCAAGATGTGTAGCGGAAAACAGAACCCAACAACAGAGCACACATTGCTGTTGTCAAAATACAGACTGTTATCCTTTTCATCACAGCATTTGCAATACAGTACAGTTAATACAGTAGTATACTTTTATTTCTGTTGTAGTTTTTGTATAGAACAGAGTAAAAAAAGCTAAATTTAATAAGTTAGAGGTTAACTACTGTAAGTTAATTACTGCTACAATTACTTTAAGCAGCTAGCTATTTTCCAGAAAATTAGTACTTTCTGACATTCATTAGAATAAAGGAAAATACAGATGTTTTTCTTAGACTGGAATTCCAGTACTTCACTACTAGTGAATGCAAACTCTCTCTGTCTCCCTATTTCAGCAGACGTAAAGGCACCGTGACAAGTCAGAAAGACCTGAGAAATAACAGGAGAAGGCACGTGAGAAGTCAGAAAGAAAAAAGGCTAGAAATATGTTAAATTAAAACATCCTGAGAACAAAGAATTTCAATTTCATGTTGAATTTCATTTTGTAACTCACCTAAGGGGCCCAAATAACTTCACCAGTGAATCACGAGTATCTACTGCAGCTACATTTGAGAGTGCAAAGTCATATAACTCCGGAAAATGCGCAAATGCTGCTCTCTACAAAAGATCCACACACAAAAAACGAATGCAAGTGTATTAATGAAACAATTTAATAATAACCTAAATATTTATACAAAAGCATAGCTTCCTCTGATTCATAACACATAGCAACCTTTGGACACTACCAGGATATAAGTGAAAACCAGGCAAAATCTCCATTTTTCTTAGTTAGCACCACCTATTTGTTACTCATGTGCTTCCAACACAGTATCTTTTTTTATGCACCCTCCTATCAGTATTTGTTCTGTCATTAAAATAAAACATAAGGGAGCAGACATGTAGCCTTGCATACAAGGAACATGTTTAATTTAACCATGCTTCCTTGAATTTTTTTGTTAAAACAATGGGAAAAATTCTGAAAAGTGTAACTATCTTTATATGACTACAAGTAATGTGAATTTTTGTTTCTTATGTACAAGGGACTACTATTACCATACGTGTTTACTGATCTTGAAGAAATGGTGCCACCTACTGCATAATTGTAAGTTAAGTTCCTACAGCACTTAATTTTCCCTTCTGAATAGATTTACCGGGAGCAGTTCAGCTCAACAATATCAAATGAAAAGTGGTGGTGTTTTGCTAGAGCATATTATTTAGTCATAGTGTCACATACATAATATCGATGCACTAGTGTCTTCAGTATGGTATAGAAAGTCAAGTTAAAACTATTCCTGTAACTCAATAGGAAAAATAAGGGGTTTGCTTTGGGAAAGAACTTAATGCCTATTCCAGATGTAAATTAGACTAAAATAACAAAACCAAATCCTTTCCCTCCCATAAGCGCTTTGCCATCTGCCTACCTGTAAAGAAGTAATTCTGTCATAGTGAATTGTTGTCATCTCATTCTCTGTCAAAGCATTTCCAGTCTGATCATTGATTTCAAAGCCAGTGTAGAATTTAAGCATATCTAAAAGCTGAAACATCATCCATACATAAATTAGTGGATAAACAAGAAGAGGCACCCTGCCACAAACAAAAACACAATTTAAGGGGACAAATCTGGGCACCATGCACAAACAAGAGCTCCTCAAAGTTCTTGTAGAAATGGACTGAGGAGTGGTATCTAAATTCTACACTTGGCTGATGCACAAAACAATTTTGCTTAGGTATCTCGTCTAGAAGCCATAGAAATTACAGCACAGGCCACAAGCAGTGTGGATTTTTTAAATTCTAGGCCTTGAAACTGAAACTAATTGCACTAAGGTGATCTAGCCAGAGGTTCAGAGACACTGAACCCAACTTACGGCTTGCTGCTACCAAAAGGGAGAGGTCTTGCTCCCTCCTGCCCTCTCTGATGCCAGCTGTGGAATTCATCCTAGCTTTCAATGAGATTATTTAAGTTGGAAGAAGAAAATTACTCAGATGTGCTGCTGACCCTCAGAGAAACTGAACAAATGCCAGAAATAGGGGACAACAAGCAGCAGGAAAAGCAGGTGAGATGCAGGAAAGGGGAGAGATCTTCAGATCCTGACATAAAAAATAATATACTGTCTATAACTGAGTAAACTGAAGGACAGTAGGGAAAAAACAGCTGCATGGTAGAACTGTCTCAGGTCAAAATAAAGCACAGAAGAATGCACCGGTGACAACTTCTGCAATACGTGGGGTAAAGCATGCCAGAAGCTGCACTGTTTTCTAGGTTGTACTTTTAAGAAATGTTCAAAAACTGAGACAGAAATGTTAAGAACAGTCTCACACATAGGTACAGGTAAGAAAGAGCTAGTATCTGAAGGGTCCATCAGAAAAACCTGCCTTAACAGAAAAATATAAAACAAAACAACTGGAGTATTCAGAGCCACATCAGAAGGAAAAATTATTTTCAACAACTTTGTACCTCACCTGGCAAAAGAGATGACCCTCCTTCTCTCTTTTAGCAAGACTGGACAAGTAACAGTGAACAACAAGATGGGAGTCATCCAACACTGTATTAAACCAGCGCCGTGTGGGAAGCAAAGCCTGTGGTAAACAACAGCACATTAGTATAAGCAATTCTTCAAAATGTAAGAAATCCTGGTTTCTCATAACTTTCCTTTTCAAGAAGGCATAAGAAGAGGAGATTGCCGCACTGTTATTTATATATTTAATACCCTAACAGAGTTTCTCCTATTTGAGAAGCATTTATGTATGCCAAGACACTGGTTTTATGTAGGTAGGCTGCTATGAACATCGCCTTTTATAGGACTGGGAGCACAGCACAAACTTGTCATTTAGTGAGATTGCATCCTGCCAGTAATAAAAGTAAATTAAATAAAGCAATTGTTCTACTACTAAGTGTCCACATAATGACTGTGCGTAACAAAAGATAAGTCAAACTGCTGCAACGTTGTTTTAAATGTTTGTTTTCTATACTCATCTCATTAATTTTACATTTGTCTTTCTCAAGACTGCAAACTGTGTTTCTTCTAAATACAGTATGGTATCTTCTATTCTTTGTAATATACTCAGATATAAGGATTTTTCAAATCTTAATTAAAAGCCTACAAGCTTTTTGTAACAAAAATAGAGATCATTTCTCCTCAGTGTAGCTAGCTTAAGCTTGCTATATGTAGCAAGTGTTCAACAGCATACAGTAGTACACCTCAACAATTCAAGAGGAAAAAATGAGTTGCTCTCAATGGAATTTACAGGCTTAATTTAGAAATCCAAAAAGCATCAGCATGGTGTTTAGAACTAAGACAAAGAAAATGGAAGAATCTGTAGTAGAAAATGTTAATTGCCCTGCACAATAATTACAAAAAAACAAAACTCAAAAAAACAAAACAACTTTCCATGGAGTCATTCCTTTCGAATTATTAAATTACCAAGTTTTGATGGCAGTCTGCGTACTTCAGTATGAAACAAATGTTCTGATAAAGGCCTTGACACAGGTAAAAAGAGTCGATTAACACTGTACATGCTACCAAGGCGAACAGACTTGGATTTACAGCTAATTTTTCATTTGCTTGTTCCAGTCATTTAAACAGGCTTCATAAACTGTCTGAGTTCTAACCTTTCTGTAATACCTAGCAAGAACCAACATTACATGTACTGCCTCTCAGCATTTTGGCTAACAACCAGACTTAAGTTTAACTTCAAATACCTATTTTCTGTTATAAGAGTATATTATATCCGTAAGACAACAAGCTCTAATTTAAGTAATTCATTCTATTGCAACTATAAGCACAGGCTACCTAAGTCACAGAATCATTAAAGTTGGAAAAGGCCTTTAAGATCAAGTCCAACCATCAACCCAACACCACCATGCCCACTAAACCATGTCAAGTGATTTAGCAGAGGACAGTTAGCCTGTATGAGTTCAAGATCAAGCCATTTTAAAATTCCCCGTGCTTACTCTCCCAGAAAACTCTCTTATTTCAGGATGTCTTCTAAATCTGAAGTTATTTTAAATAAACTGCTACTCGTGAGGAATTGTAAATTAATGTCTTGTTTTTTAATTCTGGTACTGTGAAGCTTAAAATTATCCCACTTTTCTTAGAACCTACTGAAAAATTTCACAAAATCTTGCTGGGCCTCTTATTATTCTGTAACAAACATAGGTTACTTCTAAATAATGAATTCTAGTAAAATAGAAATAGTTTGCATTTCAGAACTACTGACACTTTCTTGGATTATACCCTACAACACAAAACATACTTTAAGTGACGTATTATGCATTGGGAAGAATACTTTTGGGTTATTCCTAGCAGATTAAAGCATCACACGTTTTCATCAATTGCCAGAATTATTACCACTACTCCAATTAATGAAGTCTTCTTCACTGAGCAATTTAGGATCCTAGCTTTCTCTAGCAGTTCATCTGGTTTATAAACATTACTAGTCAGTTCCCAATGTGGATGCACTGCTACAACCTCCTATTTACAGATGGAAAACCACTATTAAGCAACCATACGCACAACTGTGACATAACCACCTGCTAATTGGAATTAGGCTGTAAAAATGACTTTACACATTTAAAACCTAGAAAAGTACACCTGGTAACAGGTTGAAACAATTTCATAGCTTACCTCAAGATCCAGCATGAGTTCAATGAATCTCTCACAATAATGTACTTTGTCCATAGAAATAGGACCTAGATAGAAAAAAAATATTTTTTTTTGCAATTGATCCACACCACAATATATTTGTACTTGAACTATTCTTTACAAATGTAATAAATGCTACTAATATACCAGTATTAGCTTTTAACAAGAATAAAAAGCTAACCAGCACATTCTTCCCTCTTACTGAAACAACCCTTTCTTTCATTGCAAACGAGAAAATTTTTGAATATAAGGAAGCAATGGAAGCAGAGTTTCAGGAGCGATTTTATTCACTCTGAAAAAAACAACCAATGCAACATACAAAAATGCACACTTCCATAAGATACCAATGGCCTGCAAAGGTTCTTAAGAACTTTTAACTCAAGGTACCTATTTAAAAACTGCAATCCAGGTGTGTACAAAAGGCCTTGACAATATTCAAAGTTACTCCATGGTGACTACTAAGGAGTCTTTAGAATCATGTCAAAACAGAAAACAGTCTCCTTTAACAAATATCTATTTCCTAAAGCCTCCAAAGAACTGTTAATGTAAATCTTCCCAAAACAGGTTGCACAATTGGGAAAACAAAGGGGACAGGTATCCTTTCTGAAGAAGCCACAATACACCGACTCTTCCCTTACAGCTCAGTTAAACTCTTAGCAAACTTCAGCTCTTAAGAGCAAAAGCAGAACTCTGGGAAGTGATTTCACCCAAACTGTGCTGTACTTAGGGCATAATAAGCCTTTTTTGTCAAAAGGCTAACACCTTCCTGTACAAACACTTTTCCTTTCCAAATCAGGCAAGCATATAATTTTGCTTGTCACAATGACTTATAAATCAAGAGCAGTCAAATCTTACAGAATTTCACTGCACTTAGGCTTTTGTTCTTACTGTAAATCAACAGTACTGACAGAATAGAGCCTTATGATATGCATTTATACCACCTGTTTAACAGGCACGTAAGTATGTATGACATGCTTTAGTGCTGTAAGAAGGCTGTAAGCACACAATAATGAAAAAATATTTCTGGGTACTGATATTCCTTAAGTCCATACTGAACAGAAGAAGAGGTTTAAAGCAGTTTTCAGCTATTTCATTTTTAAAGCATATACAGATTTGAATACCAGTTTTGACATGAAATCCATGCAGGCAGGCATGGATTTCACTAAAACCCCATCCAGATAAGGTCTCCAACCTCAGGCTGGTATCCTAACAAGTAGTGACTTTAGCAAAGAAAAAAATTTAAGATAGATTGCCACATAACAAAGTAACAGACGAACCACAGTTACCTGAGACAGGTATTGATTTTAGCACAGAAATGAACTTCTGAATGAGCTGTGAAAGAAATCTTCTCTCCCGATACGCTCTAAAATCAGACATATGACAAAAGCATTAATATTCCTTAAATGCAGACTAAAGTCCATCATATCTTTCACTAATACCAAGTTAGATGCTTTAACATTTATATAATGGTATCATTTATAATGTTGCTTTGAAACACACCTAAACTGTTTAGATGATAACTTTTCTCTCTACATTCAGGTAGACAGATTAGCAGAGTCTACACTTTTAGGGACAGAACTGATTAACAAACCATGCTTCTACTGAGTTAAAGAGAAGTATGTCACCACCTACACCTTACCACATTGCAACACAAAAGTACTGGAACATTTAACTTCAGTGAGATACACTCAAATTTATTCAAATACTTGCATAAGCTATTTACTTAAGAGCTGAACACTTGCTAAAAGTCATGAAAAAATATGACTAACTACATGAATATTCTCTTATGGCTTTCATCCTATAGATCTAAGATTTGGTATCAAAAATTCACTGATCAAATAAAATACTAAGAGTCCTATAAGAGTATTTTGCATAAAGACTACTGGAAAACAAAACAGTTTCCAGGAGACCACATGTAGACCCTGCTATCTGTTTTTTCAGTTTTTTTAGAAATGATATTTTTTTAATGAAACAATTGATTTTAGCTGAAACACAATGAACGCATTAGAGGCTTGGGATTTAACAGGAAAAAATGTTTCGGTAGCATACTGCATTCTTGTCTCCTCATCCATTTTCCCATCATTTTTCTTAATTAGATTCCAGAATTTTCTTAGTTTTGGTGTCCTTTTCAGCTCTTGTTCCAGCCGTTTCTGAAATGTTAAAATGTTATTCAGTCACCAAGAATCCTTGTTTTCATGAGAGCTAAAACTACAATCCAGTCTCATTATGAAAAAAAGAAAAAAAATATATGTATAAAATAGTTGTCTCAGACTAATCTCAATAAGTATCATTGTAAAACAAGAATGTAATACTGCTACAGAGAATCTAGCCATGGCTAGATGTCAGCTCCATTCTCCAGTCCCTGTGAACTCATGGCATTGTCTATAAATTATAGCTTGAAGAAGCTATAAGCAACAAAGCTTAGTTTTATGAAAAATCACATAACTAATTAATAATTACAATTACATGGAAATTTGCAACAAACGATAAAGAGAATTTTACTGAGCACACAAAAACTATAATTGCATAGCAAGGCAGGTCGCTTTAAATTAGACGTCTATAACAGTATTCCATAGGAATTCACTTTACAGGACTTGCATAATGCCTAAAAGATTGCTTTGCAGTTTACAATGTTGCACTTACAGGTTGTAGAGCCATCCACATCGGTAAGGAAATGAGCTGCTGCACCTGACTTCTGATCAAATCCACTTCCTGTTAGAAAGTTACAGACAGAGGATTTTGGTTTTTTTAATTCTTATGTTTTCTGATATGCCTGTCTTACAAAATAGTTCAATGTACATTACCATCTGACAAAAATATATATGTTGTTGTATTAGATTTCACAATTTCCTAACAGGAAACTGCAAAACAGCCCTACCCAGTAACACTTAAAATTGTTGATGACTTTCACATTTTAGGTTCTTTTCATGGATTCTGTCAGTTCTTAATACTTCAACAGGAGCCCCATCCATATAAGTATTTTCAGCATAGAAGCTGATGAGAACTGATGTTCCTTCTTCAGTCATTTCTCATTCTTGAACTGAACTTTCTTACTGTCCTTTCTCTATTTGTTTTTACTCTATTCTTTCTCTCCTGAAGCCCTTCATTTAAGTTTCTCCCACTTCACTCACACTCTTCCCATTATCTGAAATAATCAATTTTCTCTGTAATTCATGTAACTTCAACTGTTGTTTCAAATGTTCTCTCTTCAACTCTGCCTGTGATCTGGATCCATGAAGTCTTCTTTCTTTCCTACACTACTGAAAAACTTCCATTAACATCCTAAATACGTCTTTCTGGACAAACAATCTATTCTCAGCATTCTGAAACTTCACACTTTGGCGCTCCTTATTTAAAATACTACTACGACTAGCCTGTTCTGCATTTCACAAAGTGCAGCTTCAAATAGCAGTATGCTTTTACAAGCACTTTTTTACTGTCTTCTGTATCATGTTATATGAGAAAAATGCTCTGCAAGCAGGATTCCATACAGTCACTACCAAACCCTCCTTTAAAATGAAGATCCACTGTACCATGGGCACTACTGAAAAATACCTCAATAAACTATACACATAAGGTTCAGGATGATTACCGGGTTCCATAATCATTCCTAATTCCAAAATCAAATCATACACTTTCTCAACTGTTTTGTCTGTGAGACACAATTTTGTTCTTTACTTGTGCAGACCCTGATTTTGACTGATACATCCTGTGTGCAATTTAAGTAAAGAAAAAGCCCAGTAGCCAGAGAGGTAACAGAGTAGTTTCAAAGAAAAGGTAACTGTAAAGTACTCTCCACACTTGCTAATTAGAATCTATAACTGGTTTTACTATACGTTGAAAACACAGCTTGGTCCAAGGCTTTCTTGAAACTATCTCAAGAGAAGTGCAGGTGGAAATATTATCTAAATCTGATTTCAAAAGTGAAAAAATTACTATATTTCTCAATAGTTAATGAAAATAATTTTGTGCGATTTCCCAGCCAAACTAAAAGGAGTGCAGTAGTAAGTAATCTGCTTTTAAGTGTAAAGCACCTTTTCAAATATAAATACATCTATTTTAAGCACCATTTTAAACATAAATGTGAATATATGTCTTTAAATTGCAGTAAGTGCCAATCCTCCAAATTCAAGTCTCTTATTACCTTGTGTCAGAGAAAAGCAAATGTGATGAGAGAGAAAAAGAAAGAGTTAAAAAAAAGTGTAAAAGCCCACCAGTAACAACTTCTTCCTCAAATAGGAATTTTGCTTCATCTGTCTCCTAAGAAGAAATTGCTCAAACTAAACTCCTGTTAACACAGAATAGCATAAACACACTGGAAGTATTACAGTTACTTTCAACATACCAAACTATTGAAGCAGTGATCAAGGAAAAGCAGCAGGACCGTCTGTTCATGAAGAGAGTATTCACTGTCGTTTTCAACCAGTGATGCCTTCAATATGCATTTGAAAAAGAACGGAAAGTGTTCTGGCTTTTTTTTGAATGTCTAGGAATACAAGAACAAGTTGATTTCGAGTCAGGTTGATAGGAATCATTTCAATCTTCATTCACATAGCATATCTTAAGTTCTCTAAATCCATTTAAATCTATAAAAGGGAGGATTAGTCTTTCTTTCAGTTCTTCTGCCCACACAGTACAAACAAAACAGACTAATGATATCCTACTGACTACTATCCCTTACACTATGGGAATGCTTTTAGTGGGACTACTGCCTTCTGTGTAGTCTAACACAGACAATGCATAGGACAAACTGAACAAGAAGCACAAGTGGAGTGGATTGTGTTGTGGGAATGTTCAACTGGTGACTGCACAGTATTACTGTAGAATGACACAGGTTAAAAGATAATTGGTAGATTTTGGCCAAAACCATGGCAGTCATTTAGTGATCTGCAAAAAGTGAGCAGAAAAAAAAAAAAAAAACAGCAGAAATTAATCACAGTTGTGGGGCTCCCATTCAGCTATCTAAGCCAGAAAAAGATAAACCAAAAAACTGTGGAGATCAAGTGGTTTCTTTGCAAGGGCACCCATGTACCAAATAACAAACTTAAGCAAGCTGCTCGGAAAGTAACATGCACCTGTAATTTTGCGTCTAGTACATATGCCAAAACAAAAAAAGGCACAGACATCATATGAGAAAGCTATTAATCCTTTGTGCTTTGCCAGCACTGAAGTAATGGCACTACTATCGGAGTAAGTGTGCTTCTGAAATAACACTTGCATAGAATTTCTAACTGGGCTTATGTTGTTGAAATGGCCTGTTTGTAGAAACACTTAATCATTTCTAAACCTACTATTACAAAAAAACAGTATATACAGAAGCAGAATAAGATATTATCTTAATATAAAATTCCATGCAAGAAAGCTACAAAACCGTATTCACAGATTTTAAGCAAGGCACTATTGGAAAATATGTCAGACTTCCAGTCGTGCCTTCTTATATCCACAGATATAAAAATCCTTTTTTTCTTTCAGTATCAGAGCAAAAACTTCTCTGCAAATGCCCGACTTTTGTCAAGTGCCTAAAAAACAAATGATGATGATGATGATGTAAAGGCAGAACAAAGGACTCGTGCATCAGAAGGAAGCAGGTGATTTTAGATCCATCCACTGCCTTCTCTGAAAAGAACACACACTTTAAAACACCGTATGAGACATTCCAGCTGAGGTACCATTTACTTTTAACACTACAAGCTTTGCTACCTTCTGTCAGTATAAGTGAGCACATGGCAAAAGCTGCAACTTGCGGATCAAAGTTAATTCTAGCTGCAATTGAAATGGGTTACCTCCCACGCAGGGACATTCTCTCTGAACTTCTCATTCACCATACAGCAGATTGACATTAAATATGCCTTACTGGACACCTCTGGAGAATAATTCATCCATAGGTAATTTTCAAGGTACTGGCTGTGAAGAGACAAAGAATATTTCATTAGTTGCTGCCACCCACATAATCTGTCACTCATTTGAAAAAGCAGTTATCCACAGGGGTTTTTTCCTCTTTCTCCTTAAAGCCATCTTTATAGTTTGTGAGTAGTTCCTGAAGTTACCTCTCATCTAGGTCACTGCAGCAAAACTTGTTAAGACTCAGTAACTGCTACTCTCTCCAAAAGAAGAGGAAAAAACCAACCAACAAACCAGCCTAAAGAACATCACATGCAGCATTTCTTAGCATAAGATGCAAAGATGCAACTACTATATAACAGTGTCTGTATTATTAAATACCCTTTCTCATAAAAAATTAGGAATCATCAAGAGAGATTTTACGCTTCTAATCATATAAAGGCAATAAAAGTATTACATTGCACTGTGACTAAAATAAACCACTGAATATTAGGGGAGTGATTACATGTTTTCAAGAAGGTGAAAAAGTAATACTGCATAGTGGAAAATAGCAGCTTCCCAGCAATGAGCATTTCTCCTTCATTAATAATGGCACATTTCTCACAGAAGAAACTCTTAAAATTAGATCCTAAAGATGAAAGGCTATTTGGATAACCAACCATTTCCCTCCTTTAACTTCCTCCTGAAGCTATGCAGGGTAGTTACTCCTGAGGAGGCAAACCCTAAATCCATTATATTCAACAGTGCACTCGCACCTCATGTAACAACTGCCACCAGGAAGTGGAAAGTCTTGTTTCTTCCTGAACAAGCTGCTCATCCGTTCCTTCCTTTCTAGCATTCATCTGGCCCCTCAAGAGCCAACTCAGTTTTACTTATGTACTTTCTTCCTCAGCTTACTTTTCTGATCACTGACAACAAGCTACTTCAATAATTTCAGATAACACAAGTACCAGACACAGTGGTGAAAAAAAAGACAGTGAGAACCTGTATGTAACCAGGAGCAAAAGACCCAGTAATGGTCAGACAGGGGTTTCTGCTTTTTGGGAGCTCAGTCAGAATGTGTAGCTTCAGATGGAGCTGAGAGAACTTCATAGGCATATACAAGATGAAACACATACTGCTTCCCAAGAGCTTGTATCTGCCAATGGGAGGGGGAGAAACCCCACAAAAATCCACAGAACTCCAAACTTCATTTCACCCAGGAATTCCAATAAATTTCAATATGTTTTAGAAAAAATACTGTTATGCCCCCAAGTGAGGATAAACTTGTGTAGTAAACTTGTACGTGAGCAAGAATGAAGGACAGGAAAAACTCATGTGTGTGAAGACAGGAGAGTTTGATGGATGAAGGGCGAGGGGGAAGCGGGAAGCAGGGAGGAAAAAAGAGAGAAAATGGAGAATGACTTACAGGACAAATGGCAGTAGATGGGGCTATAGACCAGAAAGTACTAAAGTTACATTACAGGCTCGTAACATTAAGAATGTTCACAGAAAGGCTAAAAACTTCTAACTCCACGGTATTGTTGGCATACAAATTCCAGAAGTCATGCTACCAGCATTTGTTAGTGTCAAACCCCAAACCGAAGCTTACATTTTTCTCTTCTGTCTTTTCTAATAAAGAAGCAGGAAACAGAGGGAAGTTTGACCTACTTTTCTAGTTAGTGGTGTTACTTACATATTTCAGCTTTTTCAAAGAATCTCTCTCAATCAAAAACGATCTCATTCTTTCTGTTCATAAAACTTGAGAGATAAAACAGAGCCAAACAGAACACTAAATACTGTGTTTCTAAATATGTAAATACTGCAAATATTTATTTTACATCATTTTAGACACACTTTGTAAGTTCTTCCAGGAAAGTCTGAAGTAGCTGTAAGAATCTCCAAAACAGATGTCCTTTCTTTTCAAATGAAGAAAAAGTTAGTGATGTTGCTGCAGCACAATCCATTTTTACCCTCGCAGTAAAAGACTTAATCAAAAAACTTCCTCTGACTTTGGTGAGTTCCGATTCAAGGCTTAAAGATACATTCCAAATTACAGACCCAAGTTCTTCACCTGTTTCATTCACACTCTCTTTGGTACTTCACTTACACTAGAAATTCAGAATCATAAAACAAGATACTCTGATATGTTACTTATGCTTATGAAATTATTTCTTCCTCAAATTAAGCTCTCCTCACTTAATTTTCCTAGGTACATAGTTCAAGGCTTTAGTAAGTAGGAACAAATTAGTATACTACCTTCAAACTGACTCACTGTCCTGCATTTGTTTCTCATCCTTATGGGTTCCTACGAAAAAATAACTTAAAATTTAACTTTAATTAGCTTACCTGAATTCGAGAAGCATAATCTTTCTAATAGCAAACCTAAAAAGAGAAAGTAATCAATTAACACAGGAAAGAAAGCCTCCCATGCACATCTTAGCTGCATGGAAAATGGCTATATTTTCCCTTATTTTGTTATATAATGAAACCTGTATAAATACCTAGGAATTATTTCTGTCCCCCATTTACATGCAAGAGCAATGACTTGAGTACAGAAGCAACTATTGTAACACCGTGGAAGCTAAAGTTCATGCACGTTCATTAAGCAATCAAATTCCCATTAAAAAAATCCACCTAGATATATTAAATGTGAAGACACTGCTTCCAACAGCCTTAAAAACACAAATTGCTAGAAGCTGAAAGTGTCTAGTGGAAAACTACAACTACCTATTTAATCAGTTCATAACGGTATCTCTTCTTAGTGACTAGAAATGGAAGCTTGCTCTGACCCTGTATGGCAATTCTTGAGATAACTTCCATAAAGGAATCCTAAACAGAATTCTCTCCAGAGCTCAAACTTCCCCTGAAAAGCTCCAAACAGCTATGGTTACAACTCTTTGCTGTACAATGCAGTTTATCTTGAATTCTTTGCCTCCCCCATCTAACACTACAATTCACTGAAATGAGACTTGCCCTTTATAAAACCTGCTAATAATTAAGGAAAGAGCAAAAAGCTAGAGGCAGCACACTCCTCAACTGATTCTTTTTCTTTACATACCCTGGTGTCAAAAGAAGGCACCAACCTTCTATAATCATCACAACAAAAACAACATAAAACACAAGACTACCAGATCGAGGAGCCAAACCATATTATGTCCAACCATCACATTTAAGGATTATGAGCTCACAAACTTTCTTTTTGCCACATTCAGACTTTGAAATACCATGATGATTAAATGACTCAAATGCATTCAAGTCATTGTCAGCTGCTTTCAACATGTCAATGCATTTTAAAATATTCTATGCAACATTAGAAACCACTTCAATACAGATAGTGTTGAAATACTCGTCTATAAGTGAAAGTGAGTAGTGTACTTACTTTGACCTGACAATTTCTTTTGTATATACATCTTCAATAACCTATAGGAAATAATTTTTTTTAAATGGTTAAGAAATGTATATACTTCATAAAGTTATTAAAAATGCATTTATGCACTCAAAGTTACTCTGATTTAGTTACTCTCTGCTTACTACTATTTGATAAAAAATATCATAACAATTATGCCTCAGCTCTGAAGAGTCCAAAAGCTTCATAGACATACATTCTCAAAAAAAAGTAAATCAACTTAGGGAAAAGTACACAATGATAGAGAATTGAGAAGATCTTCATTCAAGTTGTTCTGAAGAATAACCTCCATCTCACTAAGATTTTTACATAGAAGTCAAGCAGATATGCAAACCTTTGTATTGTTAATCTTTGGCTTACTGTTGAATTTAAATAACAGTCTTCAAGAGTGAAGTCTGCACCAACTAAGTCACCTGTTGTTGCTGTTTCTTTTAACTGACATTTAACCAAATCCAGACACTTCTACCTTGTTTTTCCAACAGGAATGAAAGAATATTACATGACACAGAGATGCAATTTAGCTGCTTATGTACATCCTAGTTCTAACAATCACAGACAAATACTATCACAAATACTACAAAGAGAGAGAGTAAACTGAGGGTGGAAAGGAAGATTTAGCCAAATAGCCACAAGGGAAAGAAACCTAACATTTAAGAACCTGGCACTACAGAAAATCAACACAAAACCAAACACATATAATTACAGTGTGTTAACCAATTGTTGACCTTCCAAGCAGTCTCCTACACTCTTATATAAAATAAGCACCATTGGAGGTTGGCACATCAGAAGAGGGTTGATCCTGATTCTTTTATACTCCAACAAAATTCCTGTGGAACTATTTACCTTTGAATCAAAAGACAATTTTTTCTTCACATGTGGAGCCCAGTATTTATTTGCTAACTGTATGAGGGGAAAAAAAATAAAAAGTTATATATATATACTTTCAGTTGTAGTGATACAATAACTCTGCAACACATCCCATCCCTGAACTTTATTTCACTAGTATCCTACTTAATTTCAGCTTATGGTAACTACAGATAACAAAATTATGTTTTCCAACAACAGTGCTTTTCAACTATTTAATTTTTTATGCCTAAAACCTATCCAACAGAGGCATGATTCTCTGTAAAAATCTCATATGCACAAACTGCTATATAATAAACATAACTTTTTTCTCAAGTTACTGCTATGAAAAAAATGTACCACAATCTTTCAGGGACTGCAAACCCCAGATTGCAAATGATTACACTCCCACTAGGAATTTCACAACTAGAGGCTCTATGTAAAGGTCTAATTTTTCAAGGCTACATGCTGTAGCCATCACTTCACCAAAACTCGTGAGCTTATGGTGGCAAGAGCTTCCTAACCAACTTTAATCAAATTTCTTTATGCTGCAGAAGAGGAAAGAAAGGCACCTTTCCAGCACAAAAAATAAACGCTTGTATAAAACCACTTAAAATGCTCAGCTACAGTAAACTGTCAACAACTTTCCACGTTATTATAACAAGCCCGACTTATTTTGTAGTGCTGCTCTTGTAAATCTCTCCAGTCTGGAAGCGCTGGGGGCACATACTCTTTTCACCTGTAACACAGGCGTTAAATCTCTCCCCCCTTACGACAAAACACGATCCTTCCCCTAATACCCATAGGCTGCAAATTATTTACACACCGAGGCGCCGTCGCTACCGGAGCGGCCTTTCCAGTACCTGGCTCCG